TAAACTATGTGTGTGTTCTATTTACAGATTATTTTATTATGCAAATAGAAATTTAATTTTTTTGATTTTTAATTTAATTGATTAATTTAAAATATAATTTTGTAATTATATTAAAAGCAACATTCTATTAAATTAATAGTATCTAAAGGGTTGATATTTGAAATATTTTTACATTTCAATATCTAAAATTATGTAGTATTTATGTTCTGTAATCTTTTAAAACAATATTATTTCTAAACTTACACAATAGTGATTAACATTTTGTTTAAAATTAATTTTAAAACATTTTCCTAAAAACCCTAAGTGCACCAAATAATTTTTGAAGAATATTATCATTATTTTTATTATATTCCAAAGCCCATTACTAGATAAATATTTATTAATAATACATTATTTCTACATCTTAAGTTAAATATATTTCAAGTTATATTTTTTTTAATGATTTTATACTTTTATTAAGTTAAATTAAAGTTAAAATTTTAAAAGTTATTTTATGATTTTCAATCAATCCAAAATACTGTATTTAACAATGTGTGTGTTCTGTTTAATTTAGATATATTTTAATATGCAAATACAAATTTATTTTTAATTGATTAATCTAATATATAACTTTTTAATTACCTTTGATTATCATTATTATTTTTATTATATTCCAAGGCATATTACTAGATAAATCTTTGTTAATAATATATTTATTCTTTCTATTAAATTAACATTATTATGTTCCAAAAGTTTTAATTGTTTGAAACAAGAAGAATTAAAACAATTGATACAGATTTAATATTCATTGCATATTTTAATTTGTGAACAATTTTAAATTTTTGATTAGGTGACACATTAGGTGATGAAATGTTTATGAGTGTTGTATTTATTGTGGCAAGTCAATATGTAATTCAATATTGAACAATTATTACTTGTTACTCTTTGTATTTAGCGGATTTACCTACTCTATTCATGCCAGAAGACAGCCTTTAATTAAAATATGTAAAATTATATATTATATACAATATATTTTACTATTATTTATTACATGTTTTTAAAACTCAAAGGCATCTAGCATATACACAATATCAAATTGAAACTAAAATTATTATTTTATTATTGTTATTCCTTGCATTTAGTGGATTTATCTACCCTATTTATGCTAGAAATCAGCCTTTTAATTATGTATAATTACATCCATACAATTTATTGTACTATTATTTATTTATTATGTTTTTAAAACATAAAGGCATCTAGCATATGCATATCAAATTGAAACTATTACTATTATCATCATTGTTACTATTATCATCATTGTTATTGTAATTAATGTTTATATTATTATTCAATAATTTGGTGCCAACTCAAAAAAGCTACAATTCAGATACACATCGTGATAACAGAAGTACAACCTTGGCCCAGCTGGCATACTTTCCTAAACTTAGCGAAAAATATTAGCAGATATTGCCTAACCGCCAAAAGGAAAACAAAATTCTTCTGTATACACTTAAAATGTCTCCTGAAGAAAATAACATGTTATTTTAGGGAAAAAAGTCCACAAACTGAAACCAGCTATAATTTTTAGTTGACTCCAAGGCATTGATGAGGTCGAACGTTTACACTGATGATGGTCTACCCACACAAGCTGACACCACGTCGGGAAAAGGATTCTCACAGACATTTTACCCACAAAGCAATTTACAAAGGAAATGTAACTCGTAAAAAGAACTTTACAGAATTTCAACAAAGCAAACTCACCACACAGCAGCAGCAACAAGCAAAACAAGAAGTAAGTACCACCATGCAGCCAAGCAGGATCAGCCCATCGGTGTAATGGAGCATGCAGGAGGTTGCAGAGAAGTGCATTGTACAATGTTTTAAATAATTGAGAGAATACTAAAAACAAAAACCATAGCATGCATCAAACTACAAACTATTATAACAATTGAATGAAAGGAAGTGGAATTTCAAAATTATTTTTTTTATAAAACAGATTTTGGATTTAGCAATTTACATACTGTAGTTATTATAAAATAGGTGTTTTTTCCAAAATGGATTTCATAATTGGATTAAAAACAATTACAATTTTGCAAATAATAAAAAAATATATATATTTATTTACTTTGGTAATTCCAGGAAAACAAAACACATTTTGAATTTATACAATAAATTCCAATTTATATTAAAATTGAATTTGTAAATTTAGATTTCTTGTTAATTTGGTATTGGATTCGAAATTAAAAATTAAAATTTAACCATAATGTTTAAAAAAAGAATTGAAGTTGGAACAGCTTACAATTAATGTAATTTAAATTAGATTAATAGATTGAATTAAAATTTGAAATTTTTAAATATAATGTATACATCCATTTGAAATTCCACTTATAACAATGTGTAGAAAATTTCACTGTTAATGTACAAAGATACCAGTTGTTGTCTATCACATATTACGGATGCGGGTGAAGGATTATCAACGAGAGCGTGGATCTGCAAAAACAAACAATTACAAAAAATTAAATAATTGAAGAGAAGCTGTTTCAGCACAAATCTAATTTACAAGTTATTTTTTAAATTTAATAACACAATAAATACAGCACCACCTCAAGCAACACCAGCAATTCTGCTGGCAGGCACATTACACAAATATAAACTGTCCGTGCTGGCAAAAAGACCCCATATTTAAGACTTCAGACATAACATGAAATTGTTTTATGGGCGACGACGGCTGCCCATGTTCATAGATGAAGAACAAACTAAAGTAGTAACTCAGTAAGCACAAAGCAAATAATCCACAGCCTAAAAAAAGCATAGGCTAGGAGAATCTTGGCCTGCCCGCAGTTTGAACAAATGCACGGCGTTAAACAAACCTCACTGCCTGCCATCGTTACACAGTAAATCAAATCTCAGTTTACACTACCTACATCAGTGATTTTTAAAAGTGAAACATGCAAATAAAAATCTCACCATTTTTACAAACATCTGGTTCTTCATCACTGTCATTGGGTGCCATCTTTAACTGCTCCTCCTCAACATCATCTGCATCACTATCTCAAGGTCGTGATGACGTGTACTACCACTCAGTTGCTACTCTTCCCAACAATTTAATGCATTTTTCTCAGTTAATTAAGCTAACTTACTATATAGTATTTGTAGTTTGATGCACAAAATAAAAATGTGATGCATGACCACCTACTAAAGTCATTTACGTTTGTACAGCAAAATGCAATACTACTACAATTTAGAATGAAATTGTTTTACATTTCATCACACATTTTATTGTGTTAAGTAATTTTGAATTTTAAAAAACCAATTATTTTTCCCGAAAACATGTTAGGTTTACAATTTTGAAAATTTGATGAAAACAATAGATTTTTTTTGTTTTATAAATTTTGTTAAAATTATTAAAAGAAATATTTTCCATCCTTTCATCTATATAGACTGTAAACACAATTTTGTTTTTATAATAAGACTAATTTATTATGAAAATTTATAACAAATCTTGGTAGAAAAGGTCATACATCACAATATTAATGTCTCAAATCAGTAGAAGGGTAGTTACATTATTCTTTTACTCTATTTATTTTATGATTAATTTACATTACTTTATGACACATAGCCTATATTTAGATAAGTCTATATTATTCATTAATATTATATTTTTATTCATATCCACTATTACTTAGAAAAATTCTTATTTATAATTAGTTACTTAATTTTTGAATAAATAATATAATTTTACAATTTATTTATTTTCATTATTATTTATATTTTTCTAAATTACAATTTCAGGTAAAACTAAAGGAAAATATTATTTTAATCATGAATTTATTTACTTACAATTACAATGCAACAAATCCCATTCAAAAAAATTAATTACTATTATTTTATATAAAAAATATAGTTTAAAATGTTTTATATAATTTTATCCAATTTTTCAAACTGAGCCTTTTATATTCATATTTATTATTTTTAGGTTTTTATATTTGTTTTTTTAAATTTGGGGCTTTTGATTGTTAGAAAACGAAACCATCATTTACATCAATAATATTAAGTTAAAATTATGTTACAATTATTATTTTAAATTCTTACTTCAAACATATAAATAATTAATCCCTTCAACCAGACTTTTTGTGAGACAACAAAAAAAGTAAAATTAAACTGTTTAAAACATTGTTTAAAACAAAAGAGAAGAAAAAAGAACCTCATCAGCAAAACCAAAACAATTACATTTTAAGTTGAAGTACATTAAATTTTTTCAAAATTTTACAAGATTATTAATTTCATTTTTTCTAATTGATTGAAATTTAGTTGGATAATTTATCCAAAATATTTGAATTTGTTTTGAAATTTTTCTTGGAAATGCAGTTAAACAACTACAATTTTATATTTATTTCAAACAAAATGTGTAAAAGTAAACCAAAAACCAATGAAAGTGAAATCATTATAATAATAGGAATACTCAACCAGAAATTTGATTACAAATTATTTTAAATGTCTGTCTTGTTCCTTGCTAATGAGGATTTGCTAAAACTACACAACATGGAAAATGGAGACATTATGTAATTACTTGAAAGCACAATAATTAATGTACACACAGAATTTGCTGTTTGCAAAATTTTGCAGCATAGCCAATTAGAAATATTTCAAACAACTTCAAATTTCAATATAGGTGTATAAATTTCAAATAAAATAAAAAATTTGGAAATTTAAAATTTAAATAATTTAGGTTGGTAGTAAAATCGTGACATGTAATTATTGGAACAACAAAGAAGATTATTAAGATTTTCCCTCTAAAGAATGTTTTGATCCTTCAGAGTAGATTAACACTAGAGAAATCGTGCAACAAAAATTTGATCAAAAGTTTAAAGATTTACCAGAAAGTTTTTAAAACAAGCGTAATTAGTTTGTCTTCATTTTCCGAAGTAAAGTTAATATTATAATTATAAACAATAGATATACATACACCTTTGCAAAAATTATATATCAAAACATGAAAAAGGAGACTCTTATTTCCTCAAATACAATTTTTAAGAATGTTTAATTAAATTTTAAGAAATATATTGTGGTAAGTAATTTTTTAAAATTAAATGCTATTGAATGGTTTAATTATGTAAACAAAAATTATGTTCTCCTTTTCCATATTTGGTAAGATATAATGTACAATGCATTTTATAACAAAAGAAAATATTCTACCTATCAGAAGCACCACAATGTCATATGTTAACAATATATTTATAACACAAGTTTTGTTGCATTTTTTTTTAATTGACCAATTTAAAAATGTATACTGCACATATTAGATGTTTATTTCATCTAAATTATAAAGCACATTGATGAATTGTATTTATGCAAAAGAAACACATTAATTTGAAAATACTTATATAAAATTTTCCCAAATTTAATTTTGATAAGAAATTTACCAGTGCTTCAGATAAATTTACAAATTTACAGTTAAAAGCTTTTTAATCATCAACACTTTCTAAAAACATCACTTAATCTAGATTTTAACAACATATGAAAATGGAAGAGAATATTACAAATTGTGTAGCACAAGGTTTGTTTAACAAAGGGATATTAGAAGTAAACATTTCTTAATTTCAATTGAATTAATGTAAATCATGCAAAAATAAGAATTTTAAGGGAACTATCAATGTTATAACAATAAAGAATTCTGAATTAATATTTGTCTCAATGAAAATGAAATATTTTCCAAATATAATGACATATGTATAATATTCTCCATTTTCATATTGTTGATAGTGAATAAAATTCTCCTGAAATGAAAAATTCACAACAAGCATACAATGACAATTGAATTGAACATTTCCTACTATTCAGAATTTGTTTACAATTATAGTTTTATGATGCCAGAAAAAAGCAAAGAATTTTTGTTTTTAAAATCTTCATTGTGTTTTTCACAAGGTTTTTGATAGGTTACAGATTTTTGGAAATGTTCAGCTTCAATTTACATTCTAAGACTTTCATTTCAATGACTCAACTCGGGCTGTGTGGAAACTGAATGCTTATCATCATCAGTGGTGTGGTATCATGCACCATTGGTCCTAATCAGTGGTGTGGTATCTTGCAACATTTGTCCTCATCAGTGGTGTGGTATCTTGCACCATTGCTCCTCATCAGGGGTGTGGCATCTTGCATCATTGGTCCTCAACAGTGATATGGTATCTTGCACCATTACTCTTCAGTGGTGTGGTACCTTGTACAATTGGTCATCATCAGTATTGTGGTATAGTGGTGTGGTATCTTGGCACCATTGCTCCTCATAAGTGGTATGGTATCTCACAAAACAGTATTCCTCTCCTGGAATGAGAATTAAATAAAAAAAATGTAGAAACCTTTCTAACAAACATAAACTAGAACATGTATAAAATATACACAAAAAATATACCAGGAAGAAAGTGGTAAACAGTGTTGCAAACTGTGTCGTACTATATAAAGGTTAACCCCCAAAATTAAAATGTTACCTCCTCTTCTTATGGGATAATGCGGTGAAGTTAAGGTGGAAGAGCTCAATGATTAGACCAACAAAATAACTAATTGTTTGTTTGCCCTTCTTTTTTTAAAAATGATGAATAGGAGCAGGTAGAAAAAGTTTTTTTTTTAAAGATACTTAACAGAAGGAATAAAAATAACCCACAAATTCCTATAAATCAGAATGGCAACATCTTACATCAGACAACAACTTTAAATTCACTCACATTTTTTTTTTAATTTGTAAAGAAGAAGCTAAAAAAAAAAAAAAAAAAAAAAAAAAAAAAAAAAAAAAGTTTTGTTTTTTTCAGCACCTATTATTTTCAGTGAGTTAGGGGCAGGTGGAGGAGGGCAAACAAACGTTTTTTTTTTTTGTTTTTTTTTTATTTGCTGTGATGCCGAGGGGTGCCAAATGGACAACAGTGTAGACAACTAATGCGAATCGCCAAATTGAATACTCAACACCCACTTATTACTTAGCGATGGAGTCCTACTCATACTTTGCACCAAACCACGTGTCCCATGCCAGCCCAGGTGGTACACCACACCGCACAACAACAGTGGCCTAGCTAGCTAGGACGCTAGGATGCCCAGGCTTAGCATTATGAAGGCCATGTATCTTAATACCCTAAACTAACTAGTCTCGGATCCTTAACTAATTACTTACCATGTTGACGTTAAAAATAAAGCATTTAGTTTTTTACAAATATAAAAATTATATCGAAATTTTTTGCTAGTTGTTAACATTTCTTTCATTTTATAAAATAGAGGGCAGCAGACAATCACAACAATCATCAAAATGTATAGAGGGCAGCAAATATTACAATTATCAGCGTTTATCGCATTATTAGCTTACTCTATTCTTAGAAATCATTTAATCATTAGGTAGTCATCATCATTTCTCTTTTATTCCAGTTTTAAATTAGAAATATAAATAATTTGAATTAATTTTTTCTAAAATTGTTAGTTTGTCGAAGACTGTTTTGGTGTTTATCTTTTAATTGTTTTGTTTTGTTCAAGAACATTTTATAATATGAATTTGAAAAGTAACGTTTGAATTTAGTACAGCATACAATTTATTTTGAGAAAAAAAGATTTTTTGGGAAACAATACCGTAAAAAAAACAAACGTAACTTTCAAAACAAACGAAAAAACAAACGAAGAAAGCAAACGTAGCTTTCTTACCCGACTTCCTGTCCATTACATCCATGACTAATGTATGTTTTTCCATGTTACACCAAATTTCTTGGGCTGGATCTTTGCACCTTGTTTTACATGCTGATTTTTTCCCCTAGGTTTTGTGTTCTTCTTGATTGTTTGTCAAATGTTTTTAATGTTTGTATGTGTATATACACACACTGAGAAAAAACACAGGAGTGTTTGAAATATTTGTGATTTAATAAATTATATTGCTTCTAGTATGTTTACAACTAATAGCTGTTTTTTTGTATTGCTGTCTTTCTATATATATATATATATATATAGACTTATATTTTTCTGTACATGTACATTTTGTTCACCTGCAAGTGACGATTCTTCGCTGTTGGTATAAATAAATAAATAAATAAATATATTTTTAGAAACGTAACAGTAAGCATAATAGGCTCGTGTCAGAAACCAGAAATATTGAGATATTATTTGATAGCTATATATGCCATTTATTTAATTATTTTTTATTTATTTTGTATAAATTATACTATTTTATGCACATTTTTAAAATCATAAATTTTACTCCCTTTTATTTTATTTATTTATTTTTTTACTGTGTTTTAACTGTTCTTATAAATAGGTTAAATTAAATTAAACGTATTTTAACATAACTAGTACCAAGACTGTAACATAAGTTGTATGTTGAATTTCAAATACGATAACTTAAAAACTAAAATATATTTCATTTATAATTTGACTCTTGTTCTACAAACTAATTGTACTCTAGTATTTATGGTTCTTAAATTATTAAATGTCTGCTAATCTTTAACCTAAACCTCTCTTACATCAATTGTCCAAAAAAAAGTATGAGCTATAGCTCATGGTTTTTACCAAAACTGGCCAATTTTTAACCTGGTCGTTTTTCCTAGATTCGGCCACATGTGCCTAATTGAGTATTTATCCGATTTATCGTTATTTAAGCTCAATACGAGGATTTAAGTGGCATTTATCAACCTACAGATAACTCTTGTGATCTGTAGGTATCATGGAATACGAAACAACTGGAAAATGGCGGGGTCAAAAAAATCGTCCAAAAAAAAGTATGAGCTATAGCTCATTGTTTTTACCAAAATTGGACAATTTTTAACCTCGTCGTTTTTCCTAGATTCGGCCACATGTGCCTAATTGAGTATCATCCGATTTATCGTTATTTAAGCTTAAAACGAGGATTTAAGTGGCATTTATCAACCTACAGATAACCCTTGTGATCTGTAGGTATCATTGAATACGAAACAACTGGAAAATGGCGGGGTCAAAAAAATCGTCCAAAAAAAAGTATGAGCTATAGCTCATGGTTTTTACCAAAATTGGCCAATTTTTAACCTGGTCGTTTTTCCCAGATTCGGCCACATGTGCCTAATTGAGTATCATCCGATTTATCGTTATTTAAGCTTAAAACGAGGATTTAAGTGGCATTTATCAACCTACAGATAACTCTTGTGATCTGTAGGTATCATTGAATACAAAACAACTGGAAAATGGCGGGGTCAAAAAAATCGTCCAAAAAAAGTATGAGCTATAGCTCATGGTTTTTACCAAAATTGGCCAATTTTTAACCTGGTCGTTTTTCCTAGATTCGGCCACATGTGCCTAATTGAGTATCATCCGATTTATCGTTATTTAAGCTCAAAACGAGCATTGAAGTGGCATTTATCAACCTACAGATAAC